TGGAACAAACAGCTGCAAGAGAGGAGCTACACTTGGTTGAGAGCTGAACCCATGTTGAGATGACTTGCCTAGCAGAGAGGAGCTGCCCTCTATGCTAGGAGAGGAACACTCATTGGAACACGCTGGCTGTAGAAACGAGATGTCCCCTGTGGATTTGCTCTGAGCTGTTCTATTGCTCAGTAAAGCTCCTCTTCCTCTTGCTCACCCTCCACTTGTCTGCATACCTTATTCTTCCTGGGCACAAGAAAAGAACTCAGGTCCTGTCAAATGAGGGTAAAGAAGCTGTAACACAAACAGGGCGGAGACATGCCCCTTGCTCACCATGTTACAGGTGAAGAGAAGGAAAGAAGAGCTGTGGCCATTTGGGGAACCCAGACTGAGGAGTTCACTGAGCCAGGGCTGTGACTCCATCTTTAAGTCAGTGAAGTTCCTGGCATCTCCTAGCTTCCAGGCACCACTGTGGTCCCCAGTGCCAACTGCAGAAGCTCTGGTGCACCTGGTCTAGCTGCAGCTTGGTGGAGAGCTGACACATGCTGGCACCTGGAGCTCCCCACCCTGCCTGCAGCAGTGGCCATTTCTGACTGCACAGTGCTTGGACCACACACTTGCTCACCCACCCTTCCCTGCTCCATACAGTCTCCCATAGCAGGTGTGTGACACAGACCGGTAGCATGAGACAAGTGCAGTCTCCCAGGTCGAGTGAGTGGAATGAGCACAGTGGGCCCGAGAAACACTCAAGCAAAGGTGCCACCAGCCACAGAGGTTTCTAGCCAGAAAAGTGACACCCCAAAGATCCCATAACAGTATGAACATCATAGTGCGTGCTTACAAAAAACTAGATGGTATAGCCTACTACAAACCTATGCTATATGCTATAACCTATTCCTCCTAGGCTGCAAATCAGTACAGTGTGTTACTGTAATGGATACTTCAAGCAATGGTAACACAATGGTAAGTATATGTGTATCTAAACATAGAAGAGGTACAATAAAAATAGGATACAAAATATACAAAATAGTTACCTGTATAGGGCAGCTCCATTATAATCTGGTAGAACTAACTGTCATATATGTGTTCCATCATTAACTGAAACATTGGTGTGGAGAGAGAGAGAGAGAGAGAGAGAGAGAGAGAGAGAGAGAGAGAAGCAGTAATTCTCATTGTTAAAGAGAAATCCTAAACAAAACACTTAGGTTCATTGATTGACTTCCCAGATAACAGAGCAGAAAAATAATGGTACTCTGTGTAATTATAGGTTTTGAGTCCCTGGACATCAATTTACAAGTTTGTTTCTCTAGGGAAAGTTGCTTAACTTCTCATAACTCCTGTACCCTGAGCTGAATAATATCAACAATGAACAGTAACTTGAATAGCTGTAAGGATTAAATTCGATAAAGTACCTATTGATTAAAATCCTCGTGAAAACATCAATAATCTTTTTGCAGGCCACCTTCCAGAGAGAGGAACAACTCTGTTTTCACATAATCCTTGCTTAAGAATGCCTTTATTCACGATAAAATTATGAAGCAATTTGTGGAGAATATAAACACCACATTCTAGCTATGAGTTACATCTGAGGAGTAAAGGAAGGACAACTGAAATGAGGGGATGGGCTCAAACATTTGTCAAGTTTATTGCTTAATCTGGGTAGTGGATACACAAGTGTTCACTTCATGGCTCTCTATTAACATTTGGCACATTTGATATGTTGGATTAGTAACAAACATTTCAGAAGCTTAAGGTTTCTTCTGTCATAAATGTATACTCGTTACCAAACGACGAAAATACAGCTAATTACAGAGATGAAAATATCAATAACCAGAAACCCATCATCGCTGGAAAGAGAACTGTTAACATTTTCCTGCGTTTCGTTCCCTTATTTTTTGTTTGCGTGCACTCGTGCAGATATATTGCATGTATATTGCATTGACATTTCATAGAACTGTGATATATACACAGTTTTGTGCTTTATTGTTTTGTTGATGTTTTAATTAATATTAAATATTTTGCTATGGGGAAAGTATTGAAGTTTGATTTTTATTGAACCGTCTGTAGATGCATCTGCCTCATTTCTAGAACAATGTATCTGAATGCTCCTGAGCTTTTCATTGTCTTCCTTTAAACTGTGTGTCAACCAGTCTGTTCCAAAGAAAGATGAAGGTGCAGCACCGCAGAACAATTACATTGCCTGGCAGTGCAAACCCCATTCACACAACTCTCCTTTTGGATGGTGGGGAGGAATAACAATAAATACAATGAATGATGCAAATGCATATTCATCACTAGAAGATGCTGGGCGTGTGATATGGTTTGTCTCCATGTCTCCACTCATGTTAAATTATAATCCCCAAGTGTCAGGGGTGAGGACTGGTGGGAGGTGATTTGATCAAGGTAGCAGATTAACCCTTGCTGTTATGATAGTAAGTTTTCATAAGATCCGATGGTTAAAAAGTGTCTCTCTCTCTCTCTCTCTCTCTCTCTCTCTCTCTCTCTCTCTCTCTCCTGCCACCACGTAAGACGTGCCTTGCTTGCCCTTTGACTTCTGCCATGATTGTAAGTTTCCTGAGGTCTCCCCAGCCATGCATCCTGTACAGCCTGCAGGACTGTTAAACCACTTTTCTTTATAAATTTCTCAGTCTTGGGTAGTACTTTATAGCGATGTGAAAATGCACAATACAGCTTTGCTCTGAGTGCTTTCAATGCAATGATCCATTTAATCCAAGGCTTAGAGAGGTACAGGAACTTGCCTTTGACTCAGCTGAGGCACTACAGGGAAGAACAAGATGGGCATCATTCTTTTTGTGATGACAACTATCCCCTTAGTTCCTAGTTTTAAGAAATTCACACTCCAACATATGACTCCCTAATGTACATGCACATAAAGAACTGAAAAGTGCAAGTGGTAGGAAATAACGTATGCCAAACACGAAAGTGGAGGCATAATTTGTAAACTGGTGGTACCTCTCCTATGTCATCATTTACAGGACTATGACTTGACAACGTCATACTGCTATTGTTTTAATTTTGAAAAGTATGCCTGCTGATTGTCTAACATGCAAGCATCATGTAAGTGTGGGCAATAAATTGTGCAAATGTCCCGCTCAACTCTTGCCAGCAATTTGGAACTGACCAGCAATTTGGACTGCCATTTTGCAGTCATTGAGAACTGAACATAAGGGGAGATTCTGTGCTACTGTTGTTTGTTTAGAAGTGAAAATAAATGGCTAGACACCATCGAGAACATGGACATGGAGCACCCAATATCAGCTCTCTGCAGAGTGCACTGGGCCGACAGGCTGAGTCTTCCTCCCCCTGAAGGTGCTGACCTGAGACTCCCCCTCAAATAGTGCACCTTCCAGAAAGGGAGGGGTCGAGATGGAGGATGAAAGCTCCTGGTGTGCCAAGGTAACATGCCTGCTTCTGTGGGCTTCCAGGTCGAGCATCTGACAGGGTCCCACTCTCTCTCAAGGTCAGTCTCTGGAAGGAGCGTGTGTCCTTTCTCATCAGGGTTTATTGACAAAATTACCTATGAAGGAAAGCCACATCGATGTATCTGCTAAGGCCAGCCAGGGGCGAACAGGTATGCAGGGCTTTCAGTCCTGGCCCCACTGACGCATGGTTGGGGCAGGAGAAGAGCAATCCAGGGCACACAACATACAGCATGCAACATCACTCTTTATTATGAAAATAAACAGTGATCATGAGTGGGGCAAATACACAGAGCAAGTGGCTCTTCGGGTGGTTATGCCATGCAGCCTGCCAGTTAACTTTGGCTTCCTGATCAACCAGGCCTCCAATGCAGCTCCTGAGCATGGCCTTAGGCTGGTGAAAAGAGGAAACACAGAGGATGTGAACGAAGACAAGGAAGACACGGAAGGGCTCCTTTCAGGGGATCTACTTGAAGGCCTCTGCTGGGATCTTGCCCTCAGTCTACAGGAAGTAAAGAAAAGAAGGAGTTGGGATGTTAGTAGAGCCGGGTGCCCTGAGTTCCATCCCCATGCTACCTGGCCTCCATCTTCTTGGCCCTCCTGACGGCCCAGAGACAGCCGTCTTTTGCCCACTTGATTCCGAGACCTCACCTGGAGCATAGTGAAGATCTGACCAGCTCTGGTGTAGTTCCACTCATTGTCCTGAAGGCACCTAAGGTGGGAGAAGAACAGGTGTTCTCCATTGCTGCCCCAGGAAAGGCACACCGACCGTGCAATGCCACACCGACCGTGCAATGCCACACTTACTCTATGCGACCTTTTTTTGTGGGACACACATATCAGTATGAGCATTCTTGTAACCATGAAGAAAGGCCTAGGGAAAACCAAAACGCCTATCCCTGACATTCATGCCCGCTAGAATTCAAATCAGAAAAATAGGGGTATTCAAATGAACAAGGGAGCTTAATACATACTGGTAAAGAAAGATGTTCAAGAAATAACAAGTGGAAATTCAACAACATGTTTCTTTTATATTGAGATATAACGCACATACTGTAGCAGTCACACCATTTTAAGGTGTACAATTCAGTGCTTTTACATATATTCACAAGATTCTGCAACCATCACAACTATCTAATCCCAAACTATTGTGACCACCTCAAAAAGAAAGTCCTTAACTGTTAGAGATCACTCTCCATTCTCCCTCTTCTCTGCATCTTGGCAACCACTACTCTGCTCTCCGTTTCTAGGGATCTGCCCGTTCTGAACGCTTCACGTGAATGGAATCATGTAATTACGTGGCTTTTTCTGACTCGCTGCTCTCATTTAGCACACAATGTGTTCAAGGTTCACCTATGTCATAGTATATATCACAACTACATTCTTTTGCATGAATGAATATTGCAATAGTATTCCACCCTATGGATGCACCACATTAATCTATCCATTCATTAGCTAAAGGTCACTCGATGTGTTTCCATTTTTTGGCTATTTCAAGTAATACTACATGAAAATGCATGTGCAAGTTGTTGAATGGGCATATATTTTCATTTCCTTTGATATACACTTAGGCGTGGGATTACTGGATCATGTGTTAACTCCGTAATTAAGACTTTGAGGAACTGCCAAAATCTTTTCCCCAGCGATTGCTCCATTTTATGTTCCCAGCAGTGATACATGAGATTTCCAATTTCTCTGCATTCTCCCCAACATTTGTAATGTTTTCTTTCACTGACTAAAGCTATCCTAGTGGGTATGAAGTGGTTGCTCAGTGTGGTTTTGATATGCATTTCCCTAACGACTAATGATGTTGAGAAGTTTTACACGTGCTTGTTGGTCTTCTTTGGAGAAACATCTTTTCAAATCATCTCCCCGTTTTCTAACTGGGTGGCTTGTCTGTTTCTTGTTGAGTTGCAAGGGTTCTTCTTGTCGGCCATGTGATTTGCAAATATTTCCCCGTTCCAATGAGTCGGTTTTCTACTTTCTTGAGAGTGTCTGTTGATGCACCAAAGCTTTTAATTTAGATAAAGTCCAATTTACCTTTTTTTCCCCCTTTGGTTGCTTGTGCTTTTGGTTTCATATGTAAGAAATGGTTGCCTAATTCAAGGTCATGAAGATGTACACTTACACTGTTTTACAGTTCTAGCTCTTACTTTTAGGTCCTTGATCCATTTTCGGTCAGTGTTTGCACATGATGTGAGTTAGGGGCCAAAAGTAATTATTTTGCTAGTGGATATCCACTTGTCCCAGCAACAACTGTAAAGAAGACTATTTTTTCCTCCACTGGATTTTTTTCAGCACCCTGAATGATAATCAACTGGACATAAATGAGTCGGATTACCTGTGGACTGCCAATTCTATTCCACTGATTCCCACGTCTGTTCCTACTTCGGGACCATGCACTCTTGATTAATGTAGTTTTGCAGCAAGTTCTGAAATCGGCAAGCGTGAGTTTTCTAACATTCTTCCTCTCTTTCAAGATGGTTTTGGCTGTTTTGGGTCCACTGCATTTCCACATGAATTTTGGGATTACCCTGGCAATTTCTGCAAAGAAGCCAGTTGGGATTCTGGCAGGGACTTCAATCAATATGTAGGTTGTTCTGGGTGGTACTGGCGTCTTAATGATGTTAAGCCTTCCAATCGATGAACGTGGGATGTCTTTCCATTTATTTAAATCTTCTTTCGTTTTTTTTCAGCAGTGTTTTCAGATTTCAGAGTATAAGATTTGTGCTGCTTCTCTTAAGTTTGTTCCTACTTATTTTATTTATTTTATTTTTTTTTTTTTTTGATGCTACTGTAAATGGACTTCTTTCCTTAGTTTCATTTTTTGGATTGTCCATTGCAACTACATAGAAGTACGAATGATTTCTGTATATATCTGGAAACCTTGCTGAACTGGTTTACTAGTAGTTTGTTGTGCTAGATTCTTGCAGATTTTACATACGGAAGGTAATGTCATTTGGGCATTGTGTCATTTGAACACTTATTTACCTATACCAGTATAAAAGCATGATACCTTTTTCATGGGCCCACTATTTTTCAAAGCAAAATATCCAGGTTGTTATTTTTCCAAATTGCACGTGAGTCTCCACTGTTCACTCCTATGATGTCCCAACTCCCCTCAGCCCCATGTCCTCCCAGCACTCACTTCTGAGACCATTCCAGCTTCATCCCAGACTGGGCAGAGAAAGCCTGCACCATTTCCTGCTGCTCCTGGGAGAGGGAGGGCTCAGAGCTGGAGGAGGGTGTGGACACTGGGATGGAGAAGGCACTCTGAGTCTCTTGGGGGCTGGCGTCCCTCACAAACAGCTCGTCATTCACGATGCACAGACTGGAAGAAAGAAAAATGCACCCTCAAACTGGACAGGTAGACAACTCCACACCCCCGACAAAAGTATCCTTCTTAACCACTGCCACTCAAAAACCAAATTCCTTCCATATCCCTACTGTGCCCGACTCCTGGATTTTTTTGGCTGGTACCCTCTAACCCTCCCATGGAGTTCACTTTTGGAGAGACTGTCTACCAGCTTCACTAGATTTTCAGATCTAAGCCCAACAGGTTTACCCTGTACAAGAGCCCAAGGAAGTGGATAGCCTTATTCCGGTTTTCAGAGAAAGGCACTGAATCACAGAGAGGTTGGCTAAGTTGTTGAAGGTCACACAGTTTGTGAGTGTTGCGGTGAGGAAGAGAACCCTACTCTGACTCCAGGTCCCACACTCTTAAACACTAAACGAGGCGGCTCCTTGATCTACTTGTTGGCCTTCCACAATACTGAGAACACCCCGAGGACTGCACCCAACACATTCCCACAACACTATCCCCAGGCTGGGATGGGTGCTCCACCCACAACACAGAACTAACCTGGAATTGCTACCAGGGGTAGCGATGAAGGTCCGGGTGAAGGCGAGAACAGAACCCTGAGACTGTCCTTCCACTTCAAAGACAACAAACACCACCATCTTATAGTTGTACAGGCTTTACGTGCTCACACGGTGATCCCCAGTCAGAGTCTCGCTTGACACTCACACAGAAGCGGGGTAGACCAGGACAATTGTTCACATGGAGTCAGGAGGATGTGGCAGGAATGGCGAGGCCAACAACGGGAACAATATGCTCCCAGTGATAGGGCCCCTATCATGTGTGGGGCCCCGTGAAAACCACAAGTTCACTTGATTCCTATTTCACATAGCCCAAGAGATGGGTTATTGTTGGCCCCATTTTGCAAATGAGGAAACTGAAGGGTTAAGTAACCAGCAGAAGTTCACAGAGTAAGAACCTGGAATGAGAGCTGTCAAACTCCACAGTCCGTGTCCTTAAAGCACACCTGAGCTGTGCAGGGCAGACAGTCATGGATCTAGTTCAGACCAGGGTGGTTTGCGGGCACAGTAGGGGTGGGAAAACATGGAGGGAAGAAGAGGAGGGAAAGGGACAAAATCAGGGAAGCTGGGAGAGTTCTGAGAGGGAGCCCGGCCAGGGGGAGGAAGCAGTGGGGATCGAGGGAGGGGACTCTAGACACTCACCCTCCTTGAACACCCCGTTGACAGAAAAGCAGAGCATCCATTTCTGAAAGGGAAGAGCTCAGGTGCTCGGGATCCTCCTTAACCTCCTTACCCACCTCTGGCTCTCTGGGCCTGCCCGAGGGAGGAAGCAGGTGCTCACCGTCTGGTACCACATGTCCACCAGGATGGAGCTGAGGTCATGCCGAGTCTTGGGCAACGCACTGAGGAAGTCCACAATGTCACGTTTTGTATGTTTCAGCAGTTCCTCCCTCAGGTCTGTAGAGGAGAGGAGAGGGAAAGAATGGGGGGGCGGGGGCTGCCACACTCTGATCTGTGGCCTCTGTGATTGTTTCTTCCACACCCCCTTAACTTGCCCACTCTTCCCCCTCACACACTTACAGGGGTCCTTGAGTGTTTTCATATTCCTGCTATCCTCCAAGTACTGGCTCAAGCTCTTCCTAGGAGAGAAAGAGGAGCAGGAGTGGGTGGTCTGGCCAGTGCGGACATTTCCAGGAGCTGGCCTGTGTCTGCTGAGGAGACACACAGCCTCGGAGCAGGGTCTGAGCCCCCATACTCACGGAGTTGAGTCCTCAGTGTTGAAGGGAATTGTCACGGAGAAGCAGGCCTCCTCATGGTAAGCACCAAGGAGACCCCGTCTATCTCCAGAGTCATAGATCGAGTAATACCTGTGGGGAAGCAGTGAGGATAGGCTATCTCTGTGGCCTGGACCCCATATGAGACTGGAAAACTCCCATGAACTGATCTGTTTATGGGTGGACCAGTCTGCCTCAGCCCTCCACTTCCTCATGGTCCCAGGGGTACTCACTGCTGCAGGAACTGCAGGACCATATGCTTTAGGGTCTCAGATCCATTACAGCTTTCCTGAAATCAAAAGACAATTTAGACCTATGCAGTGGACAAAGCCTTCCTTACAACACTCCAAATCTTGCTTAGTCCTTCTTTCTCACCTTGCAGGGTTTCATTAACTCAGAGCTGTCAATGTCAACAGTCGTTGCTGAGGATAACACTTGGCCGTCCTGGAGAAGGAAACAGGAAGTCAGCAGTGGAGACCAAGGAGGTGGAGCTGGATGACCGGTAAGATGAACATGCCCGGGGAGAAGAAGCATCAGAGGCCAGGTGGGAAATGGTCCTGGAATTTCCAGTGGGTGGCTTTCTCATGAGGTGCCAGACATCTCTACAATTACATGCCAGCATGGGTGTTTGTGTGCGTGTGTGTTTATGGACACGTTTCCAGGCAGAATATTCTTGTCCTTTTCAAGAATCCATGCCTCTAAAATGGATGAGGGTCTGATACAAGCATGTAGTCTAGGCAAGACCCAAAGGACTTGAGGGCAGGTGTGGAGGTCATGTTCTGGAGTAGGAGGAGACTCACGGTATGATAGATACTTACCAGGCGTAACAACTTGGGGAAACAATCCTGGATGGCACTGTCCGAAACCAAAAATAGAATGAAGTGACTGACAGTTCAGGGCTGTGTGGCCTCTCTCCCTCTCCTTTCTCCTGGTTAGCTTCCACATAGACTGCCCTGACTCCCTTTTCTCCAGTGCCACAAGCAGCAGCATTGGGAGCCCAGGCTCCAGGGCTTTCTTCCCCTCCCTCTCTTCCTCGTCTTTTTCCAAGCCAACATGGAAGGCTCTGCAGGGAGCACGAAATGGGGTGGGAACCCAGGGCTCTGCTACCTCACTGGCTGTCCATCAATGTGGCCAAGAGCAGGTAAGCCCTTAGGGATGGCCCAGGGTGCTGGGACAGGGAGGTGAGCGAGGCCAGGCTCAGGTGGCAGGAAGATGGGGGCAGGGGTGTCAGTAGAAATGGGGTGAAGGTAGGGGTGGGAGAGACGGGGGAGTCATAGGAGATGAGAGACAAAGGAGAAGCAGGATGCAAAGCAAAAGGAAGGGAAAGATGATCTACTGTGGGGGTGGACTTCAGGGAGGAAGAGAGGAGAAAAGGTCTCCCCTGCTGCAGCCCTTTCCCTCAACGCCCCCTGGCTGGCCCTGGGGACTGAGGCAGGAAAGGAAAACATGTACCTGTTGGGCTGGGGCCGGCTGGATGCAGCTGGAGCCTTTCTCACCTGTGTGAGCTCAGTCTGAGCTGGGCATGGAAAACAGAGCAGCCACGGGGACAGGAGACCTTCTCCCAGGAGGAGTGAAGGGTCAGGCCCCAGCTCAGCATGGGATTCAGAGTCTGGGAACACCCTCTCCCGGCCACTGCATTCTCTTCTGATGGTCCCTGGCGCCTGCACCCAATGTGCTGACACCTTGACTGAGGAAGATGACCCACCTCCGGCTACCCAGGGCTACTCTGAGGGCCCAGGCAAGACAATGTGAGGTGTGGAAGGAAGGAGGGGCAGTGGCTTGAGAGGTCTGTCTTTCTGTCTCCTCAACCTCCTCTTCCTCTGCCCAGTGCCTTCCACTCCTGACTCAGGAATGTGGCCCACTTCTGGTTCCCTGACTCGTTAAAGCCAGGTTTCTCCTCAAGGAGGGCCCAGCTTCTTGCATGGGGCCACAGGAAGAGATGGCAAGACAGCAGCCACCCAGGGCCTCGGCCCCTAGCATGGGGCAGGGAAGCCCTCACGCCAGCACAGGACAGGTGCAGGCACCTTTCTGGAGCAAGAGGAGAACCCCTCTCGGGAGAGTGGAGGGAACTCCCATCTCACCATGGAGGCAGGAAGGCCTGTCTCAGCATGAGGCCCAGAGAGAGCCACAGGACTCTTCTCAGTCCAGGGCACCAGCATCTGAATACTGCTGGCCCTGCAGAGGTGAGGGAGCCCCACTTCCTGGAGCACACTCACAGAAGACGCGCTGGAGGAGGCCACGTGGAGACAGGAGGGAAAGGCACCCCAGAGCAGGTGAAAAGTGGAGCATGTCAGAGAAAGGAAAGGAGACAGCTAAGCACAGATGAGAGTGATGCCAAGAGAGGAAAGAGAGGGAGAGCAAGAGAGAGAGAGAGAGAGAGAGAGAGAGAGAGAGTGTGTGTGTGTGTGTGTGTGTAGGAGGGGAGGAGGTCTGTGGTCCTCCCAGAGGACCAAGGCTGCCTCTTCCTGCAGAGGGGCACTTTCAGATACAGCTCAGTCATCCAGGGAGCAAAGGTGCCCAGGAAGGGCGACAGGGGTTGTCACTGACCTTACATAGGCGGACTCGTCAGAGAAGGTGCTGCACAAGGGGTTCCCTTCTAGCCACAGCTCTTCGAGCTTCAGCCCTTTCACCTTGCCCAACTCCCACACCGACTTCAGCTAAGAAAGATGGGGAGGAAACTGGAGAAGGAGGGCCAGGGAAAGACAGACACCCAGGACCCTGGGCCCCAAGTTCCCCCAGCCCTCACGGTCACCTACAGACACCAGACACCTCTGCCTGCCTGTTGCCAACATCCTGATGTGTACCGCCATCCATCCTCCACCCAAAGTTGATCTGGCTCCCCCTTCTCACCTCATTTTTGGAGAGGTTAAGGATCTTGACGTTGGGGGCCTTCTCTGTAATGTCAGACAGGCCATCCAGCTGGTACAGTTTGTTGTTGCACAAGTTCAAGGACAGTAGCTTTGGGTCAAGAAGAGTTAGTGTGGCAGCTACTATCTTGGGCCTCAGAGACACATCTGCCCTCCACCTTTTCTCTTCCACCCCTCTAACTAAAAACCAGCACTTGGCCTAAGGCTTCACCTCAGGGAAATTCGATTCAATGATCTTCAGAGTGGCAGCCATGCAGTTTCTTCGATTCAGGATTATAACAATATCACGGTCCATCAAGTCTTTAGGAAGCCAAGAGAAGGGAATCAGAAGGCTGGGAGGGCCCTGGTTGGACCAGAGCCAGCACCAACCCCTCCCTAAATTGCCATCCCTAAGTTTCCCTCCCAGGCAGACTACCCTGCCCCCACTTGCCTTAGAATTGCTGCTGTCAGCCATACCTGGGTCAAAGCGGAGACTTTGGAGATCAAGAGCTTGCTGGGAGACATCATATCGTTTGTCCATGGTCAGCTGCAGAGATAGAGATGAAGACAGAGACTCTTAGGCTCTGGTGGTGGTGGTGGTGGTGGTGGTGGTGGTGGTGACAGGGAAAGAGGGGACCAGGGGAAGAAGAGGTGCGTCCAGGAAATAGGCATGCAATGATCATGGAGTCTGTATTACCTTCAGCAACTCCATTTCGCTTGGCTTCAACTTATTCTTCACAGAGAAGGGCGCAGTAGAATGATTGACAAATATACATATCTGCAGGAAGGAGAGGCGGGGTAAGTACCAGGACCTCTAATCGCAATGAGGATGACCAGCCTCCTGGCCTGTCCTCCTGCCCAGAGACTAAGGACAGGGAATGCACACACCTTCCGGTTGTGGTCATCACAAATCGTATAGTTGACATCCTTCAATGCGGAGGCAGTACTAGCACCTTGCACAAAGAAGTGTGCCCGATTTTGGAAGTAGTGGAACTACAGGGAGCGAAGGCAACAGCAATGGTGTCAGAGGGCAACGGCCCCTGCTGAGCCAGGCCTCTCCCCGTACCCCGTGCCCACTCATCTGGCTTCACCATGCTCTCTTACATCAAACGGAGTGAAGGGGACACTGCAATGGCTCTGGATTGAATTGATTAGCCATGCCTTGTCATACTTTCCCCCGTAAGGAATCTGAGGACAAAAACAAGACACAGGAGAGAAAGGAGTGACAACATGGAACAAATGATGGAGAACAGAACCAACCGGCTCTTTTTTCTTTCTTTTTTACTCCAACCTTCTACTTAGTTTGGACTTCTGAAGAAGCGACTGCTGACATGATTTCTTATTTATTTGTGTGCCTAATATGGATTCCCTCAACTCCCTTTCCCCCCATTCCAAAGCTCTCCTCCAAATAATCAACTTAGGGTGTTTTAAGTGGTCTTCCTTCTATCAGGTTCCAGCGTAGTCCACCTAATGCAGACCTCACCAAGATACTCACTGTGACCTTGAACCAGGCCCTCGTTTGTCCATCTTGTGTGTCCTCCATCATTTTTCTCTCTGGACGTTTTCTGTTTCTCCATGTGGTAGTATGGATTTGGTCTTCACTATGCCATTTCACTAGCTTCCTGTTGCGTTTGATGCCATAAGGAGTGCTGTGGGGAAGAGGCGAGAAGGCGGGTATCCATTAAATCTAAGAAAATCTTGTATACACGCTCCCCTCACTGACAGCAGCGCTACAGTTAGCATTGCTTAGCCATTATTCCACTTCCACCATTCCTCAGTTCTCTAATGAGAGAAAAAAAGGAAGACCACGGAGAATAAAAGGGTTGCACAGTCCCGGGGGACTGCTACGTGCAAACCAGGCTGCCTGGTCACTTACTGTCTTAGTTGGCGGTCCTTGTGGACATCTCCCATCTCCAAGCATCCATCATTCTCCTGGTGCTCTGAAGGCGGAAGCTCATGCCCACCGTGTTCATAATGAGGGTTGCTCTTGTCAAAATTGTCCTGGAAAGGACTCCCACCTTTCTTTCTTCCTTGAAAAGTGCCACCATGGTCATGGCATCCTGCAACTGGGAACAAGAAGACAAGTTGGAAGGCACATCAATGGGTCAATGGCCCACTTACCACGTGCCATGCCGTGGGCTAACTCCATGGTAGGGTAAGCAGAGTGCCAACCCACCCCAATGGACCAATCACACAAGCCCCAGAAAACGAACTCCTCTGCCTGTCCAGATACAAGGGCCTTACCTCACAGGTGGCACAATCAGGGGAGGAATCTTGGGAGAGGAAGCAACTGTGTTGAACCTCTTTAAGAAATGGAGCAGGAATTATACAGAACAGAGGTGCGTGTGTCCATGGGTTAGTCTAGATACCAGACGCACACCTGGAGGGGTTCCTAATCTTGCCTTCCCTCGGGCTTCTCCAGTCTAACACACCAACCACACCAACACCAGGGAGACAACCTCTCTAGCACCTCCCAAATCCAGTCCTCCAAATGCATTCTGTGAACAATCGGCAAGCTGTACTTCTTTGCCGGTGTAGCACAGGCTTTAATGGCAGGCGAGAGTGAGGTATCAGCTTCCGAAGCTGCCCCCTAACCTCCAGCCTTGCCCTCAACAATACTCAGTTGGAAATACCCAGAGCAGGCTTTCTTTTTGTCCAGCCTGAAATGCTTTCAGCCCAAGACACAACTCTTCCCAAGCAAGTGACAGAATTCCCAGAAAGAAAGAAAATCAGCAAAGATACTGAAAACCAATACAGTAACAGGATCTAAAGGACATAAGTAAAACACCGTGCCCAACAACGAAAGCAAAGCATGCTTTTTGTTTCCCCCTCTATCGTCTTATAGCATTCACGAAGGTAGACCATCTCCTGGGCCATCAAACAGACCTCAACCAATTTCAAAATGTACACGTCATCTCAGGGTGCCCATATGAATAAAATTTCGGTCACTGCTGATCTCTCTGCGATGTACTACTGATTATGGCCAGGCCTCAGATGACCTGTGGGGGCTGGAGAAGGCGGGTCACTGCTTTCACTGTGTGTGACCCACTGTCAGGACAGTTCTGCTCCTCTCGGCTGTTTTGGGACTTTCCCTGTGTGCCATTAGAAGTGATATTAAATGTAGGCAGAGCGTTTAACCTAGACATTCCTGATGCTCGGTCCCCACAACTTGGAGGTGGACCTGGAGTGCTCACTTTCTCTCACACTCTACATCCAACCGATCAGGATGGATGTATCTTCTCTGGGCTCTACCTTTAAAATATATCCAGAGTCTGGCCACTTCTCACCCCCTCCATTGCTACCTACCCTGGCCAGGTCACCAACATCTGTCTCCTGCATTACGCTGCCTTCCAACTTGTCCTTCCGCTTTTGCCCTTGGCTCCCTTACCATCTATTTTCAACACAGCAGGCAGAGGGACCTTTTTAAGCGCCTAAGTCAAATCTTGTCATTCCTCTACTCAAAATCCTTTAACCGGGGTTTGGGGCCCATCGGTATGTTAAAAAGCTATGAGTCCCTAACAATACGCAGCTACAGTGACGACAACAACAACAACAACAACAACAACAACAACAACAACAAAGACCCTTAGTGCTGACATTTGGAGGATGCCCGGAAACCAACTCATTTTCACGAAAGTCCATAAATGAAAGGGAAAAAAAACAAAGATTAAAGTGAGGGTTCAGGGCACGTGGTGAATATACGGAGCACAGGAAGAGTCAGCGTCATTTCTGAGAACCAGCATTACTTCAGAAATAATGTCACTGAGGGGAAGAAGGTGTAAAAGTGAGCTATTCAACAGCTACAGCTACAGCTTCAGGCAAGGCTTTGTGTTGGAAGAGAGCACAGATGATACACATGCCACAGAGGTACGCGACAGAGAGAGATGCTGAAGACAAAACACACACAGGCACACATCCGCTTGCTGAACTCTGGCATCTCAGCACAATCCCTGTCTCGCAGTTGTGCTGCCAGAATTACAGGCGATCTCAAGAGTACTATAAAGCAGCTAGTGGCTTCTCACCCAGGACCGCCTGGGCTTCCCCTCCGGCCCCACCACGATGTACTGGCTGATCCTCCCACACAGACACAGTAGTGAGTATCCTTTATGACATCACGTGCGTTCCTACTGGTACTTCCTGTGTTATTTTGGAATTCTGCCTACGTCACTGCCATGCCACTGAGTGCGTCAGCATCCCTGCTACGGCATGGAAAGAATGAGGTAAGAAGAAAACCAACACTTGCCCAGTGGCAACCAACAGTTGCTCCGTGTTGGCAGACTCACTAGGTTTCTCTTGACCTCCTCACAGAAATCCCATGACAATTGTAACCAGTCTCTTTTCAGATCATGGATATGAGGCTCACAGACGTCAGGTACATTTCCCAGCCAAGTAAGTGGCAGAACAGGAATTATGTCGTCACCTATATTGGTCTGCCTCTACACCCTGGGTGCTCCTCCAGCAACTGCACTGGTTCTCCCTTAAATGGCAAGCTTTCAGGTCTCAAGGACAGACTTTGGTGAGCAGGCCAGGGATGATGTTTTGTGTTAGTCACTCCTGTTGGGGTGAGAACCAGGTGCCTTGGATAAGGTGGAGATCTCTGTCTTTGACCAAATGCGTGGAATCTGTTTGGGCCACAGGTTTTCAGATTAGGAGTCACTTTGGGCGGGTGGTGTCTGGCACAGAAGAAGGGCCTCATTGATATTTGTTAAAAGAATGCATGTGACGTAGGTTTGGGATCATCGGCAAAACGACTTTTGAGAATACATCCATCTCAACCATTTCTACCGACGTCTACCTGTATTTATTCCAGACCTATTCGGGCTGCAGAACTATTCCATAACCTGCTTGCAAAACTAGAAAGAACTACTTTTTTCTTCTGCAACATTAATATTTTTTTCATTAATGTATCGTTAGAAACAGAACTAAGCACCTCCCTGCAGGCTAAGGCTAGAACGGCAGCTTTGAGGATCTCAGAGGAGGAGGCTTTTGCAAATAGTAGTGACGGAAATGAGGAGAGGCGTTCCCTGAATCCAGCAGACAGAGCTTTCTGGACATGTGGTCTCTGTAGGCAGAATGTTCTGGACCTACAGGCATGTTGTGTTCACTCAGCCTTCTGACAGACAGGAAGTACCCTCCCTGTCTCAGGGAAAGGAAAGAGTATGTGGGTCTGTGCGTCTGTGGAGCCCATGCAACCAAGTATTTGTATTTTGCATTACATGCTTCTAGAATTAGGTTACAGATAGGCACGACTCCAAGTCATGTTGGGAAACACACTGCCGCACAATACTGGAGTCCACTGCACATTTCTTTTCATGTGTCATGTATTATATATATGGCCAAATTTTGTTTCTTGTTCAGAATATGCTTTTTTCTTTTCTTTTTTCTTTTTTTAACCTCTCGGTGGTTTTAATATTTGAATTGACAGTTTTAAAATAAGAAAGTATTTAATAGAGTTCTCTGCACACAAAAGTAATGGAACAATATTCACGGGGTTGACCAGGGTTACAGAGCACCCCCAGTGGGGGAGACCAAAAAACCCAGTGGAACACAGCCAGGGCTTCAAAGTGGATGTAAGATTTTGAGTCCCTGATCTACATTTCCCAGGAGAAGCACATGAATACTTTTAAGCGTAAAAGTGATATTTTCCATGAGATTTACACCAACATACCCTTCCAGTAACCGTGTGTGAGTCTAATTTTCTGCGATATGCCTAACCATTCAGAAGTCATTCTTACACTTTGATCCGGACATTTCACTTTTTGAATTTACTACATAAATCGCTCTCTGTCTAAATATATACATATAATTATATGGCTGTGCCTTACAGGTGCCTTGGGACAGAAGGATGATGGGACCAGAGAGTGGCTGATATTATCCTGGGAGAAGCAGAAATGACTGTCCTTGGAATCAAGTAGACATGGCAAGGAAGGGGCATGACATACAGAGTGAAAAGGGCAAGGGATGGATGTGTGGGTCAGAAAGGAGAGGGTGAGGTGAATACAGAGAAGACAACGAAACACACATTGAAAAATCCCCTAGGGAACTGAATTCATCCTGGCGATACGCTCCCTTCTGGAAGCCCTCCTTCTTTCCTGTCCACGTACATCTTGTCTGTCCCTGCTACTTCACTTCAATTTGAACACTAGAGAAACAGTTCCCACACAGTCTAAAAAAAGAGAGATGGTACAGGGCAACAGTGTGCAAACGACAAGTTTCTTGCCCAGAAGCCTGGAGTCAGGGGTCACTGGTTCCAGACACCACACCCATCATTGCCCACCAGACTCTGAGTGGGCCCCTTGGCCCCACTCATTTCAGCCTTGACACAGAGTCGCACAGGATTGGTTATGGGCACAGGATTTGAAATCAGATCCATCAGGATTTCAATCCTGGTGCTAAAATCTATGACCCGAGGCAAAGTAACTCGCTGTGACTCAAGTTCTTTTCTTGCTCCTTTTCCCGGGGGGGGGGGGGCCCCCCCCCCCGACTCAAAGAATTTCAGTAACGGTTTCAACCGTGTGGGCTACAGTACAAATTAAGTGAGTAACACATGGCATTACGTGAAGAATGCACCCCTGGATGACGGGCCTGTGATCCAAACAAGCACATACATAAGTGTCTATGCTATGTCAGAACCTAGTCACATCTGGCATTTACTGAGGAGAAATATGTGTTAGTTGTATTCGTTTGCATTAGTCCTCCTGGAAATGACAAGGAAAAGAGATGAGTGAGTCGGATCTGGTTGCCATGTCAGCCGTATTTTCACAAAGCGGCAGTAGTAAAACAGGGCAGCCCCAGCCCCAGTGGGGAATCATGTGACATATGGATGAAGGGAACCAAAATAAAATGCTCGGAGCATGAAACAGGTCATGTGGAAGGATTCAATAGGGGACTTAAATGCCCATTTCCAACCTTTGAGGAAACAAAATGTATTATTATGCAAGAAATGTTTCAGGTTTAAGTGGCAGACTACAAGCAGCCAGGCAGAAGATTCGTCACACCATGTGATACAAAGGGAAAGAAAAAAAATGACAGGTTACAAAA